AAAATTTGGAATATGCTCCAATTGAAATGTAATACAGTCCAATACTCTCTCTCTGAAATTACATGTTCATGATATATACTAGACGAAGGATATATATTCTAATATATTCTACCAAAAATTTTCGATCGAACAATATTAAAAAAAATATATTACATTCATTTAAAGTACATGAAAAAAATAAAATTTTCGATTTCAGCACTTCCACGTGAAACTTTCAACAAATTAAATTAAAAACCATAACATGCAAATTGAACGAAGAGCAAGGAAACCGGATACCCGAATACGAAATGAAGCGATGAAACTTCACCAGCAAATTCCACATATCCACTCTTCCTTAATGTTACACATATAAAAAGAAGGAACCGGCTCGTTTCGTTTCGCTCATTGGGCCACTAACGACAACTTTCTGATATTTACAGAAAACCTTATAGAAAGTAAATCCTATTATCCGGTAATTAAGTGAAGTTGGTCGAAATGGTTGTCGGTAATCCGAGGATGCAGCTGCTCGAGAGCTGTTACGCTTCCTTTAAAACCAATTAGTCGAATGTCGCCATATTCGACTGACGCTCGTGTCTCTTGCCCGATCATCGTTCAAACGCCTCGTTAGAACCTAGATATTTCAAGATTTCGGATACTAACTCAACGACTGACAGCGAACGATTACATTATTACGATCGTTAGACAATTTAGGTGTAGACACCCGTCAGACGTCGGACAGATGCTAATTAAGTCCAGACAAGTTTTATGGTTCTTTGTACGTTTTACGAGCTCTTGGTGTCAAGAGACACTTTACAGTCTTACTAGATCATTTTTCAGAATAAATAACAATACCTGTTTTTAATCAGAGTGAAATGTTAATCAGAGTGAAATGTTATAAAAATTTGATAGGAATTGAATCTTGGACAAATTTTTTTTTGTGGTTTTTTTATAATAACTCGTCCTCGTCCGGAAAAATCGAAATAGATAAATTGTAATATAGTTTTAAACAATAAATAGTAAAAGAGCTTACGTATAATTTTGTAGGAATTTTCTCTTTTACATTTGTACTACACTTTGTATTAATTTTCACATACACATGCTATATATATTTATCTTTTTTCTATTTTATTCTACATTTTCCTTTCCATACTTTTATTCTATTATTTGACTATCGAATAAATTGTAATTATAATTACAATACAGATTGTATATAATCTATAATCTATCGCCATAGTACAAGAATCATTCATCACTCTATTTCAATGAATGATTTCAAGTAATAATAAAATTATGTTCTCTGTACGTAGAATAAAGTTATTTTTCTTGTCTTATCTTCAAAATAAAAATAATCTTCGGTCTCAAAGCAAAAGATCCCTATTACAAAAAAAAAAAAAATCCAACTTGGACATCATAAATCGTTCAAAAAAAAAAAAAAACAAAATAAGAAAAACATCAAGCTGTCAGAATCAAATGGGTCAAACACGATCCATTTCCACCGTGCGAACGTATCGACGTGAACCCCTGTGAATCGACGTCGACGTCGACCCTCGTGTACAAATGATACAAGCGATCGCCCCCGCGAAGCAACCTACAAACTGGCTGACATCCTAGTCTATATGAAAGATCGAGGGAGGAAAGAAAGAAGAAGGTGGGTCAACAATGAAATCAAGACCTGAGACGGTGTGCCCCGCGAGGCGAGTCATCCGCTCTGATTGTACAAACACGTAACGAAAGAATGGACGCGTTCGATTGGTCACTCTCGATCCGGAGGATGAGAGTCTGAATGGCGCGGATCGTGTTCGAAGAGCAAGCTACTTGGGCCATTTCGGGCATACGCGTTCCATTCTTTGGCCATTTACGGAATGGCCGGCCACTGCGAGGTGGTCAGTTTCACAAAGACGGGGGGATGAAAATATTTGCCAACGAGCCATTGTTCAGCCTGCGTTCGAGAGATAAATGGCACAGTGGTTGGTGTCCGTTTGCGTCTTTCAAGCTGGAGTTAGTTTCAGAAACGGTGAATTTAATTAATTCGAAAGTCTTAACTTCTAATTAATTCGGAGAAATTAAATTGCTCGGAGGATTTCTCTTTAATTTTTAACTCCAAAGTTCAACTTCAATTCGGGGAAATTACACGAGAGTTTCTGTTTAATTTTCAGTCGGAGAATTTAATTCGGGGCATTTCAATTTAAAAAAAAGACTTCCGTTATCGAATTTATTTCTCAGCTTTCGAGTGTAAGACGTTTTATTGGAACTTTTGTATCGGAAAAAATTGTATTCTGATTATTTGTGACAGCTCAGGAGTCAGATTTCGATAGAAATTTGTAATTGTACGTACGTATAATATATATAATATTATATTGTATCATTATACTTACAATTGTACATATAATATTAATACTGCGTCGTACGTAATAATATTATATATGTATAACATTTCTGCGTCCTCCAAATTTCCAATAAAGAGTATTATACATACAAAAAATGCGACTCGACATAATACCTCTCAAGCCACATGGAATAAAATGGCCAATCCTGTCTTTCGTCCGTGATAGAATCGTGAAGGGCGTCTTAACGAGCTACTTTGGACCGCCCGTGTACTAGCCAGGTATCCCAACCATTGAGTCTTGTGTCACCACTGCACAAAGATGTCCCCGTCGACGAAAATATTTAACAACAATCGACATTGTCGCCAGAGTGTCGCAGTAACTTTCCAGGAAAAAATTACGCGAAGCGAAAAGGCGTTTACCAACGTCACGCTGTTTTCCCTTGGCCGAGGTTTGGGTTACGTTCCCTTTTCACCGCCACCATGATTCTCACTCGGTCACAAGTTATTACTATATTATTTAGAACGTGTCTCGCGCTGTTCACGGTTCGCATTGTGCATCCGCATTCGCATGCTTCACTTCCGCTGGCAGATGCTGGGGGGGCAGTTTCTTGACGCCAGTGGTTTTTCAAATCGTTCTCGGCTCGCATTTTCGTGGCAACGCACCTAATACCTTTGGAAGTTTTCGTTCTGAACGAGAGAGGGGATCGAAGCGATCAGAAAATCGCAGATATTTAAATTAGATTTTAGTTGTAATGTACTTTAAGAATTTTTGTGAATGAGAAAAAGGGTTGAAAGTGATCAGACAATCGCAGATATTTAGATTAGATTCAGTTAGATTAGAGTACCTTCAGAGTTTCTGTGAACGAAAGAAGGGGTTGAAAGTAATCAGAAGATCGCAGACATTTTTTTAGGTAATTTCATAGTTTGATGAACGGAACTGAACATTGTGATGATTGTTTTATTTTGACAATGAGACACATGTGATCTATTGGCATTGAAAATTATTGGTCCACACCTAACTTTTTCCCATTTGGTCGACTTTTACGACACGCAGGGATTACGTTGGGCCTATTCTGACCCTAAGCCCACAGGGGGAAGTACACACCAGATGCTAATCCCGTTTGTTCTTAAATTATTTGTGTGCAAAAAAAACGAAGATTCGTATATTTTACTTATTTTATTCATTAAAAAAAAATATATATATATTATATTTGACTTATTAAAAAAAATATATATATATATTAAAAAAAAATTATATTTGACTTATTAAAAAAAATATATATATTAAAAAAAATTATATTTGACTTATTAAAAAATATATATATATTAAAATAATATATATATTAAAAAAAAATTATATTTGACTTATTAAAATATATATATATTAAATATATATATATATATATATATATATATATATTATATTTGACTTATTTCATTGCTCAAAGACTCATCGCCCAAAGTATGGATATTTCGGAATCACCTCGTATATTCCAACCCTCTCTCGTTATGCTTGCTTATTATTTTTATGCGTCAATCTGCATTGTCGCGATTATATTATACAGTGCTAGTTTGTTGCACGCAGGAAGCATAAAGACGCCGTGCTCCACGTAATAAAACGCCATTTGTTCGATGATGAGAAACGTTTAGAAGCAAAAAACATGCACAAGCGTGTCATTTGCTTTGGAGAAACCGAAGCGAGGATCGTGTTATGTAAATGACAGGCAGTGGAGTGCTGAGATCGAGTGTCGCATAATCAACGAGAAAATAATTGCTCCAGGTGTGTTGAATAAAGATGGAAAGAAATTTAAAAGATTCTCTCGGCCAGAAATGGCTCTGGTTGCTAAGATAATCGGTATCGACCAGTCGGATGAGAAGTGGAAGGGCATTTTTTTCAGAGGGTAATTCGTAATTAAGAAGTTAAAATGACAAACGACGCAAAATGGAAAGAAAGAATCAAGTCGGTGGATAATTTTCGACTAACTCTGTCTAGTGGAAGCTCTCGTGGTAGCAAGTTTTGTAAGTTTATAATAAACGATCACGATGCAACGATAAAAAAAAAATTAATAGAATATTTATAAAGACAAAATAAACAGCTAAGTCCACGAATTCTTTCATCGACAATAAATAAACTAAATTTCTACGTCCAATTACGTATAAGTCACGCGTATCATCTTATTTTTTTTTTTTTTTTTTTTTTTTTTTTCTAGTTTTGTCCAACGTTTTGCAATTAATCTTGATTTTTCTGATGATTAAGAAACGCAAAATTTATTCAGCTGGTTGCTGTGGTTAAAAAAAAAAAAGTGTGTTAAAATAAGAATTATCGTCTCACTTCATTTATCTCAATAATTTTATATTCTCACGCTCAAGTTTCTCGACAAATAACGAACAAACAAAGTTGAACCACCATCGACAGAAATTAACAGCAAACAAATTTTACCAAACTTTAAAAATACTCATATGTGTATAATATAAAAATCAACTATACATGTACACGTGTATATGCTCTAAAAGATAATTGAGCTGAGACCTTCTTAAACGATCTGGAAGGACAACGCAAAAGGAGAACTGAAAGTTCTAAAGACGCCGAACAAAGTGGAAATGGCGTTAACTGGGTATCCCCCTCCTTTTTTCCGCCCTGTAATCTCGAAACGACCGCGACAAGGAAGTAGACGCTGGATGTCTCACCAGAACGCTGCTAACAGACCGACGGTGTCACTTTCGACGCCCCTAGGCTCGATCATCCGCGGTAATTCTCATCGAACCTCACCGTGTGTCCCTTCAACTTTCAAATTTGGCCCCTTAGAAGCACATGGATGAAAACAGGCCGCCTCTCACGACTTTCTTCCTGCCACACCTCGATCTGTTAACGATTCGATACTCCGATATACTATATTAAATTGCACTGTATTCTTGTTAAATGGTCGACCAACAATTTTTTTTTTTTTTTTTGTTTAATACGATCCCTATCAGACTGCTTCGACCGTTCGCGTTTGGAATTAAGCAGATTTCTGTCATCTGTGAATTTTTTTTAATTAAATTCTTGCGTCGAGATAACATTTGAAGTATTGCAAATAGAGAAGAGAAATAAATTGAAAATAATAATAATAATAATAAATTTTGTGACAATTAATTAATTTTAATGAGAAGTAAATTTGTAAGATGTCAGTGGTAATTTTCGGTTACTGTGATTTTAATTTTAATTAAATTTCTCGCTTTCCTTTCTCTAGTTCGTTTTACAAGTATATATTCACTGAAGTAAATGAAGTACAATCAGTAAAAAAATAATAATAATAATAATATTCGTAATATTTTTCATAGATTTTATTAAACTCTGTATCTATTTTCAATAGCATCGAATTTTTGTAGTTACACGATGCGAAATTCAATGTACTTCAATTAACAAATTTAATTAGTAATTTTAATGTTAAATCAGTAATTCAGTAACTAAGTTAACGTCACAAATAGTCTGCGGGAAAATTTATATCCATCTGCGGGAAATTCGAGGATGACACGCGAAGATACGACAAACATAAGAGACAGAGCACTCGATATATTTGTTTAATGAGTTTCAAACGAGTTTCCATTTCTTCAACCACGTCGACGGAAACAGAAATCTGCATAAAAATCCGCGATCTAATTACAAGTGTAACACAGTGTGCCAACGCTTCTTACGGCCACAAGTCGACAAGAAGTTGCCCGGTGTTATTCCAGTGAGTTTCCTTTTCTCATTTTGCAGAAATAATTTTTGTAAGAGGTTTGTCGACACGAGAAAGATAAACAGGCCAAGGGTATCAAGTAGGAATATCCGCTTAAAATGGAGTTTGCCCTTGTCTGCACATGTTCTACGACTTCGAATGTTATTTGCATAGCTCGCCGCGGGCTATTTTGACGCGACGATGCCTGAAAAAAAAAAAGAAGAAAAAAAAAGACTGTCTGTTCGATCGTGGATAATATCAAGACGAGAGTGGCTTTCTGGTTCGCAAAAAGTGACGCAACGTTGACGCGTGCAGAGCTCGAGAACTGGCGATCGGAGATCGATTTCTTTCGTTTGATTACACTGACACTTGGCGAATTCCCCTTATCCTCTATAAAATAGAGCATTACTCTATTTTAAATTTACGAAACTAAGCAACTTTGGGATATCTCAATTTAAAAGCTAAAATCTTCAATGTATAAATCACGAATGTTTCTTATATAGCAGCTCGACACACGTTTCCATTTCGCGTTTTAATTTTGTAACTTCATAAAACAATTGTTCCACGACTTGCATTGTTTTTATAATTTCGTAACTTTTCGTATTATGCTTTACAAAACGATTGTTTTTATTATTAACTCTTTCTAAGTGAAACTTTCACTGACCAGAATTCTGATTCAAACAAGACCGTTTGCTTAAATTCAACAATAAAATAACAAAATTTATGAACGATTATTATTAATTTATTAATAACTCTTATTAACAATATTACCTATATTACCTATATTATTAATATATTATAATATTACCTATATTATTAATTTATTAATAACTCTTATTAACAATATTACTTATATAACGTGCATAATATATTCATAAAAATCGTTCACGAAACGACTGTTTCTCCCTCTTTCGCGCGGAAATTGATACAATTTTTCCCACTATTGCAACATGCAAAAACCTAAAACCACGCACGTCCAATCGAACCAATACTCAAGAACCTAGTTACGAACCAGACGAACCATTACCAATACACACGGCCTAAAAGCCCCGACAGAATCACATGGCTAACGCCCGTTTCGTTAACGTTCCACCGCTCTTACGGTTTCGTCAAGGGTGAAATGCGTTTTTCGAGGGGCAAAAAGCGGCGGCGTGACGTTGTCCAGGTTAAAGTGGCGCGTTCACGCGTCTCTTGATTCGATGCATGACACTTTCCATCTAAATGTGTAAGTGGGGGAAAGGGGAGAGGGGAGAGAGACCGCCTCTTTGGCAGAGGCCGACCGAGAGAATCTGCTTTCACTATCTTCGGCCGAGTGAGACGTCGAGGTCCTCTTATCCCGGCCGAGGGGATTTTAACGCCCGAACACTTTTTATGAGCGTGATCACCTTGGGAGGTAAAGGGCGGCCTGTTTCCCCGACACAGAAAGGGCCGCGGTTTTATCGCGTGCACGCAGACGCCACGCAACGACACTTGACCCTCCTCCAATCACGCTCCGAACACTCGGCCTTCTCAGACTTCTGTCACCTTTCAAAGACCAAACCCCCGTGGAAAAAGACCGTGGACGTTGAGAACAGGGTTGGAGAAACCCTTGAGGGGTTTCAATCCCTTTGGTATCGAGGTGTAATTTTCCCAATCGCAAGTGATCTCTTTTTTTCTTTTTTTTTTTTCGTCAGTTTCTCACTACTAGGTAAGTGTAAAATTTACAAAACTTTTCATTTCATTTTATTTGAAGGTTGATTGATTTTCAGTAAAAAAGAAAAGTAGTTACTTCCCTCTTCCTGTACAGCGTGAATAAAATAATCCACGCAACAAATAGCGTAACATTGCATAGCGACAGTAGTGTAACATTGAGAATAATCGGACATTGGTGCTACGCTTATACTTCTTCATTTATATACAAAAGATCATAACACTGAGGGTTAGTTGGACTGAAACTGATGTGAAAGAAGATTTTTCATTGATGGAAAAAAGATTTTTAAAAGCACTAAATTGATCAATTCGCACTATGTGCAGTTGAATTTGAAATTTTAACGAAACCTAATTGTAGTGATTTGTGAAGTCTTGACTGATTTATAAGTAATTTTAAATCACAGGAGAAAAAGTAATATAAATGTATATTATATAATAATTTCCCAAGTATAATAATTACCGGACTACGGATTTTTACGCATTTATTGAAATTTCAAGATACAATGCGTATAATGTAGGAAACTATATAAAACACCAAAAGCACTTGAAGAATAAAAATAATTTCTATTCTTTTTTCAATAAAATAAAATATTTTATTCCTATTATACTAAAATAAAATACACTAAAATACACTAAAAATATACTAAAATAAAATACACTAAAATTTTACCTATACCTATTATACTAAAGTAAAATAAAAAAAAATAAAATAAAATAAAATAAAATAAAATAAAATAAAATAAAATAAAATAAAATAAAATAAAATAAGATAAAATAAAATAAGATAAAATAAAATAAAATAAAATAAAATAAAATAAAATAAAATAAAATAAAATAAAATACATTAAAATTTTACCTATACCTATTATACTAAAATAAAATAAAATAAAATAAAATAAAATAAAATACACTAAAATTTTACCTATATCTATTATAATAAAATAAAATAAAATAAAATAAAATACACTAAAATTTTACCTATACCTATTATACTAAAATAAAATACAATAAAATACACTAAAAATATACTAAAATAAAATAAAATCTGCACAAACATCCGCGATCTAATAATTACCGTAAGATACAATAAAAATACAACGTTCAATAAAATAATTCCATCGAGGCCTTACTTTCTCAACTCAGTCAAGATTTCTTTCGGGGACGTGTTCTCACCCTTAAGAACCGTTCATCAGCAAGAGGAAAAAAAAAAATTATTTCGCCATCATCACTGCGTAAACTACATCTGCCCAACTTTCGAGTTTCCCTTCCCAATCAGCAAATCTCTGCTGAAATCTCGCTAAATGAATCATCCTCGGTATTCATCGAGTACCCTCGCTAGAAACGCAATACAGGGAGAGGTCAAAGGAGAGGATCGAACACCTGCACCCTCTCGTCGGACTTAGTTAGCCTCGATCCCGCATGCGAGAGCCTTCTTTCTTCTTTTTCTTGGTTGCCGGGGGCAGATCTCCGCCCACAAGTCCGTGGGGCCCCCATAGAAATCGCGCAACGATTCCAATTTACAGGCTTTCTCTGTCTATTTTTTCTCTCTCTCTCTTTATCTTTCTCTTTCTTTCTTTCTTTCTTTCTTCTTTTCTCTGTCGCAACACGACGAAAGGACGTAGTTACCGAACAAAACTAATTCCATGACAGGCTGGAAACTGTTTTTCGAGGTCACGAGCCACTGCCAATTAGCGTGAGCTGGCTCGATTCGCGTCGCGATTTTCTAATTTTGGGTCCATCCATGTGTATGTTCGCCGGATATACATCGACTCGTGAAAGATAACCGATTTTTAATGGTAATCTCCGAAGGGGAGTAATGGTTTTTAATGTTCAATTTTGCTAAACCAAACACGATACTCTTACGAAGTCTTATCTGCAGACTTTTTCCAATTAATTGTAAGTTTCTCAACCATATTAATAACATATAATCGTAAATTTCTTAATGTAACAAAATATTTTCATCACGTTCTACTTTTATGAAAAAAGAAAACGTGATTCTGGCGTTAGATGCAATTTTTAATGGTAACTTTCAAATTACGGAAGTAATGTTTTTTGATGTTCAATTTTATTAAACCAGACACGAACTTTTACGATCTTTTTACAGACTTTTTCCAATTAATTGTAAGTTTCTTAATTATATATAATCTTAATTATATAATTAGTTATAATTGTAAATTTCTTGGTATGAAAAATATTTTCATCGCTATTGTTCTGTCATTTTTGTACATTTTTATAAAAAAAACCATGAAGTTTTGGTTTCTTGTTCTCACGTTACAGGTCTCCGCAGATAAATGTTCTCAAAATGGAACTTGCAGAAAAAAAAAAAATACAAAATGAAAATTTCTCCGTCGGAAGAACGGGAAGTCTGTTGATCAATATTAAAAAAGTTTTCAATATTTGCAGCGAATACTGGCATTACCGACTATGCTGACCAATGAGTATCATTCGAATATACAAATAGATCGTTAATTAAATT